CACCATGCCCAGCTAATTTTTTGTATTTTTAGTAGAGACGGGGTTTCACCGTGTTGACCAGGATGGTCTCGATCTCTTGACCTTGTGATCCACCCACCTCGGCCTCCCAAAGTGCTGGGATTACAGGCTTGAGCCACCGCGCCCGGCCCGTCCAAGATTAAAAAAATATTTCAGACTTGAAGAAATAATTCAGTGAACATCCATATACATGTTGCCTAGATTTACCAGTTGTGTTAACATTTTACCACATTTACTTTATCTCATTCTCCCTAATATGTATTCATATACACATATATTTTTTCTGAACCACTTAAAAATAAGTTTCAGATATTGTGTTACTTCACCAGAAAGTATTTCATCATGTTACTCCCAAGAAAATGTACTTTCTCTTATATAACCTCAATATCATGATCACACTCAAGAAGTTTAATGATGCAATGTTATTATCTAATGTTTAGACCATATTTAAATTTCTCCAGTTATCTCCATAATGTTCTGTATATATATTTGTTCCTTTCTGGTCCAGGATCCAATCCAGAACTGTGGTGCATTGCATTTGGTTTTCATGTTTCCTTAGCCTCCTTTAATTTAGCAAAATTTCATTACCTTCTTTTTTTTTTTTTTTGAGACAGAGTCTCACTCTATCTCCCAGGCTGGAGTGGGAGTGCAGTGGGGTGATCTCGGCTCACTACAATCTCGGCCTCCTTGGTTCAAGTGATTCTTGTACCTCAGTCTCCTGAGTAGCTGAGACTGCAGGTGCACACCACTCTGCTTGGCTCATTTTTGTATTTTCAGTAGAGATGGGGTTTCACCATGTTGGCCAGGCTGGTCTCGATCTCCTGACCTCAAACGATCTGCCTGCCTCTGCTTCCCAAAGTGCTGAAATTACAGGTGTGAGATGCCATGCCCAGCCTACGACACATTTTTTTTTTTTTGAAGAGTCCAGGCCAGTTGTTTTGAGAATGACCCTTAGTTTGGTTTTGTCTGATTGTTTCTTCATGTTTAGAATCAGGTTAAACATTTTTGGCAGAAATGCTACATAAGATAATATTTCCTTCACCTGCATTCAGGAAGCACATACTTTGTCTTATTATTGATGATGTTACTTTGATCTCATGGTTAAGAAATTTGGTGTATGCCTTATTTCTTCAGTGTAAAGTTACCTCTTCTCCTTTGTAATTAATACCTGGAGGGATACCTGAGACTGTATCAATACCCTGTTTCCCCAATAGTCTTTTATTCAATGATCTTAGCATTCATTGATTCTTGCCTGAATCAATTATTTTATTGATTGGAGGTTAGTTTTCAAAAAATAATTCCAATTTAGCTCATCCTTTTAGTTTCTAAAACTCACCAGAGCAGCTAGGTGCAGTGGCTGATGCCTGTAATCCCAGCACTTTGGGAGGCCAAGGCAGGAGGATCACTTGAGTCCAGCCTGAGAAATATAGTGAAACCTCATCTCTACAAAAAATAAACAAAATTAGCTGGGCATGGTGGCACGTGCCCATAGTCCTAGCTACTAGGAAGGCTGAGTTGGGAGGGATCACTTGAACCCAGGAAGTCAAAGCCATAGTAATCTAACTGAAAGAAAGGTCAGCTATCTTCAGTATTCATTGTTTTAAGTTGGACATGTAGCTTCTGCTGCTATAATCAGTATAGGGAAAGATTTTCTTTTTACTGTGATCCTCAATGCATATAGACTTTACATTTCACAAACAACAAATTATAATGCCTTAGGCCAGGCATCGTGGCGCATGCCTGTAATCCCAGTACTTTGAGAGGCTTAGGTGGGTGGATCACCCGAGATCAGGAGTTTGAGACCAGCCTGGCCAACATGATGAAACTCCGTCTCTACTAAAAATACAGAAATTAGCTGGGCCTGGTGGCGGGTGCCTGTAGTCCCAGCTACTCAGGAGGCTGAGGCAGAAGAATCGCTTGAACCCAGGAGGTAGAGATTGCAGTGAGCTGAGATCACACCATTGTACTCCAGCCTGGGCAACAAGACCGAAACTCCATCTCAAAAAAAAAAAAATTATAATGCCTTAAATAATTTGCTCTTTTTTGTAGTAAAACAAAGTCTGACTTCTGCTGATAGTAAAATATTGTTTTATATGTATTTTTTCTTATTAAAAGAAATATGTTTGACTATATTCTTGGCTATACAGCCTCAAATATAGCTTTCAGAAAGTTAACAGCTTGGCTTCCTTTTAGACTAAAAATTTATCAGTTTCTTGAAATTCCTTGATATATTTTCATGGTATACTTTAATATTGCAAATACATTCTAGATATTGGTGCATGTTTAATTTTTTTGTGTATGTCTTAGAAAATAAAATAATTCTAAAAAGCTCACCAGAAAAATGGTTATAAGTTGAAGCATTTAAAAATTGATATTATAGGTATTCTTTTTCTGATATGGAAAAAACTATTTGATGGCATTGATATAATATTTAAGAACTTGTGGATTTCCTTTTTATATGTTTTTAATCTGAATGCCTTTTGTTACCTTGACAATTTTATTGTTTTAGTCTTGTCATTGAACATGTATTAAATCTTATGATTTCTTTCTTCCTTTTCTGTCTCTTCCTTTTTCTTTGCTTTATTGTTCCTCCAATTTTGTCCCTTCGCATCAGACAAGGCTCACAGGCTAAAAGTGAAAAAATTATGATTATTTCAGCTTTCTCTGATGTTAACTATGAAGAGCAAGAAGATAGGCATAAGGAGATAAAGGGGAAAATATCACAAGAGTTTCTAGAAAATAATAACATAAACTTGAAGGAAGTAGAGGTAAAAGAAATTAGAACCCTTTCAAAAGCTGATAAGTACTATAGCCAACATAAACAACCAAAGTATAAGAACAGGAAAAAGACACCGCCTCAGAGCCAACAAACAGAATTCTCTACTGAGCTTAAGTTTGAAGCATCTGTTTTCTCCAGGTATCCTCAGAAATATGATACACTAGATAGAAGAAGAAAAAAGAAACCCTTATACAGTCATTTTGAAGACAGTGAAAGAAGGCAGTATGATGAGAGATCTGAAACTAAGACTAACTACAAAAGCACATATTCTAATACTGAAAATTGTAACTTTTGCCATATTGAAAAGAAGAAACAAAATATGGGGTACCCAGTTTTGTACCCCTACAGAAATGGATTTGTGGTTAAGAGAGGCATACAGCACATTAATTTGGAAAGTCATGATCTGTCCAGTTGTTTAAGGCACTGTGAAAAGTCATCTGGCTCAAACCAGCATGTCACTAATTTTACTTCATTAGATATTCTTGAAGATTCTACCAGCAGTACTTCTGATGAACTTCTGGGTTCCCCTATTTCTGATAAGCAGGAAGATTTGCAGTCACCAACATGGCATCCATCCAATGTCTACCATATTGGAGATTTTCCTGAAGAATATTATGTAGCAAATTCAGCATTGCCATTACAAAGGATGAATTGTGATGCAAAAACACTTGGAGATATGTCTGGATGCTCCACAGAAGAGATAACCCCTTCCTCTATTGAGGAGCCCAAGGAGGACCATATTGATACGATCGATGAACTTCAGTGTTTGGTAGAAACTGTGTCAGAATATTTAGCAGAGAAGGAAGAGGAGATTAATAGATTTGGCTCACTTTCAAAAACTAAAAAATCACAGAAACAAAATAGTACTGTTGATGCAGAACAGAGAACACCTGGAGATCAAATACTACCTTTAACTATTGTCAAGAATAACAAGGACAGGGCCATCTCTTTCCCTGAGTTGACTGGAGTAAAATGTGCTGTTGGTTCTTTGTTTTGTTCACTCACAGAAAAAGTGGGTTTAGGCACAAAGCATCTAACAAACTCTGTGGAAAAGCTGGTTTCCTTAGTTCCAGAGAAAACAGAAACCCTTAATGAAATAGAGATGATTAATTCGGGATCTAAACACAGAGCCATGGCAGTATTGGAAAAGGATCTTTCCATGCAATCTCCATTATCCTCTCAAACAGACAATAATGTGACTATAGAAAGACATGGAAAAACCTCTGAAAATGAGCACATGGGCAACAAAACTGGGAGTTTAAGCTTTCAGAATGCAACAGAAACTACTGAAAAGGACTCGGCTCCACAGAGTCAGAGTTCAGTTATAAAGTCGGTTTTCAGCAGGTTAAATCCATTGAAGATCTTTTCAGAAAAGGAGGAAACAAAAAAAGATGACGACCAGAATAAGCTACCAAGAAAGGAAAACTTTGTTGAGTGTGGTTTGGAGTTAAATAAAAGGGAAGGCACTCTTAACAATTACAGTAGTAGCATCATTGCTTTAAATAGGAGTGATGAGGAAACTACAGGCTCATTCCAGATGCCCACAAGTGAGAATTTATTGTCCTCCCAAATAACCAGTGAACCTTCAAACTTAGCTAGTTCTGCAAGTAAAAAAGAAGATATTGAGAGTCCAATGGAAGGAAAACCCTGTATAGATCTGTCTCTGTTACCAGATCAACAAAAAGTATGTGCCAAAGATAGTCCAGGACATCCTCGTAAAGCTGGCAGTGGAATTTCAAATAAAGAGATATCTTCAAAGCCATTAGAGGAGGACAAAGTTACTGGTAATGATGATTTCCTTGAGCCACTCAGAAAATCATTTAGCCAGTTTTTGCTCAATTCCCCTGAGACCTGTTCAAAGGAAACTTTGTCAGAATCTGTGAAAACTGACCAGATGGAAGAAGATGGATTGGAAACGGGACTTAAGAAAGATGAACATTCCTTTCCCTTTAGTGGAAAACTAAATCTTTCATTTTTTAGAGGTCTTGGTCATACTGAAAAGCAACAGGAGTTAAAAGAGAAAGGAAGTGTTTTTCCCTTGTTTAAATTTTCCTTCACTGACAGCAAGGTTACTGTTAATGACCAGAGTTTACATGACTCAGCAGTAACCACTGATGAGGAGAGCAAAAGAAATTGCCATGAAGATACCAAACATAGTTCAGTAAAATCTAGTTCTGTTCCATATATTCATAGTGATCTAGGGAAATTTGACAGTACAGAGGAATTTCAAAAGAATGACCAAATAAATTGTCCTGAAAATGCCAAACTTAGTTCAATAAAATCTAGTTCAGTTCCAAATATTCATAACGATCTAGAGAAGTTTGACAGTACAAAGGAATCTAATGAGAATGAACAAGTAAACTGCCCTGAAGATGCCAAACTTAGTTCAGTAAAATCTAGTTCAGTTCCAAATATTCATAATAATGTAGGGAAATTTGACAATACAGAGGAATTTAATCAGAATGACCAAATAAATAGTCCTGAAGATGCCAAACTTAATATAATACAGTCTGATTCAGGTACAAATATTAATAATGTTCTGGGGAAATTTGGGAGTATAGAGGAATTAAACCCAAGTTACCACACAGCAAGAGAGAATGTTGAAAGAGATTACTTAGCCATTTCTAGAGTTGTGCCCAAAGAACATATAGCTTCAGATCCTTTAGGAGATGGTAAGACTTTTATACAAGCAACATCTTCAGTAGCATCAGAGTCTTCATTAGAGTGTATTTCTACCACTTCCAAATCTACTTTGGTTAATGAAATTAATGAAGATAAGGTTATAGATAAGACTTGCAAGAAAAAACCCCAAGGAAGCTTCCTTTCTGGCCTTTTTAGTAAGTTTTCTTCTGCTGAAAATTTGTCTAGTCAACAAGAATTAAATTTGAAAAATGATGACTCCCATCATAAGAATAATAACCCAGGTTTAATCTCTGGAATATTTAACCTGCTATCAAATAGCAGTGTGACTGATCATAAACCAGAGGAAGCAAAGTTTGTGTCTTTAGGCAACACAAAGAGTTTGGATGGAGATAAGCATTTATCCTTGGATGAGGTTCCTGCTATTTCACGTGTGAGTTTTGAGAACCCAAAGAACCATGTTGAAAAAAGTGAAATTTCTAGCTCTATAAAAGCCTCCTTATTACCTAAAGAAAACATACCATTATCTGATGCTGGGATTGATAATCACCATTGCCCTCCTACATGGAAAAACCAGCAAAGTGAAAAGCCTTGCCCCTCCTCTGAGAACATTGTACTTCACTGTGCTCCAAGTGTTCAGCTGGGTTTTTTGGAGAAATCTATGGCTAAGAGGCCAAGGCTAAACCATGTTCTTGAGACAAAACTACGTGAAAATTCAAACAAGTTAGACTCACCTGTACTAAATACTAACATGTTCAATAAATCAAACAACTATCAGGCATTTGAAGAGATGAACAGTCCCTTCTGTTTTGAATGGGACTCTGACATAAAAGATTTGTCTAAAAATTCTAGAAAAATTCAGCCAGTTTATTATATGTTAAATCAAAATAGATTTCCATCAGCCAATGCTTTCTTGTGGCTTAACTCAGAAAACTCAGTGATTAATTTTTGCCAAAAAGATCAAAATGCAAATATCTTAGAGTGGAGAACAAATCCAAACAGTGTCATTTGGTGTGGCTTACCATATGAATCATTCAATCAGTTAGCATTTAATGAAGATTACTTATTAAGAGGTGATGTGTGGGCAGCTAACTCATTATATGGAAACTCTGGTCCTTTTCCAGTTAATGAGGCTAAGAATTCACTAGAAGAATTACCCATTGACTTAAGTTATTCATCAGATCATGAAAAGACTACATGCCCCATAGTTAACCAAGAATCATTAAGAATTGATGAAAACTTTGTTTTTTCAAGTTTTGGTTGTGAGTACCAGGAATGGTTGTCATGTCTTGAACATGGAGTGTGGTGGCCATCAGAGGATGGGGATTATGGATATTACATGTTTCATGATGGTCAATATATCTATTCTCTTCTCACTGATTCTACTGGGCAGTATGCATATTTATTTATACCTGATTATTCTTATCAAGAGTATTTGGATTGTGATTTACAGACAAATGATCTATCAAGTATTACGTTGGATGACAGCATTATTTCTGCCTGTAACTTTAAAGTACTTGATAAGGAAGATGAAATATTGTGGTATGTTGAAGAGGAACCAGTTGATGACCCTCTTGATTTAACTTTAGCTTTGCCAAGAAGTGAGGAACCATTGTATCTAAATTTAGAAACCTTTTCACAAGTACTTGAAGAGTCAAGTTATGACCAAAGCGATCAGCCACTAGATTTTTCAGGCTATAATCGTCAAAAGTTTAAAGGAGATTTTAGATCTTTCAAAGAAAGGCCATGTGGTTCTAAAGACCTTGAATGTATACTGGATCTCAGAAACGAGCCCCAAACCATTAGTGATCATGTCTTAAACAGGGATCAAATTATAGAGAGAGATAAGAACCAGCCTCCAGCTAAAGATTCATCAGTTCACCTTTCCAGCTTCCACTGGCTTCAGTCTTCTATTGAAGAGGTTGCCACTTTGGTTCATCCTGAAAATATGACTAAAGGCTTAGAACAAGCAGAAGAGACATCATTAGTGAACAAAGTGACTTCAGTATTTTCTGTTTTGGGTGCCTCAGTTGGGAGTACTTTGAATTTTGATCAGAGTGAATCCTTAGAGTCTTTGGCCATGCAGAAAGTGGACACTCAGCCCTTTGAGACCTCTGGGCAGTCAAATTTACCAGAGCTCACAAATGATGGTTTTCAGTCATTAATCTTGAGTAAGCAATTAGATGGTAACTCCCCCAATGAGAAAAAAAGTCTTCTCAAGGATTCAGAAAGACAGATAGTATCCCATGTTCAGCATCCAGAATTAACTAAAAATACAAGGCAAGAATTCCCTTTAAATAAAAACATTCGTGTGAAAAAGCAAAGTTTGTTAAAATCTGGTTTGCAGGTAAGCCAAACAACTCCTCAGACTAAATCAGGTGTAAAAAATGACAAAATTATAGCAACAGATTCCATTTCAGTTTCTCCTGCACCTCAGCATAGTAGGGATGAGCATGAGAATCGTGAGCTTCCCCAGGACCAGTTGTCCAAAGAGTCTCAGAAAACACTTTTTAAAAGTGCATTGAAACTCTTTAGTCGAGAAGAATCTTCACGAAGTATGACAGCAAATGAAAAACAGTCATCTGGATTTTTGAATCTTTTAAAAACTCAGGTGAACAAAGAAGGATCACCAAACTTAGAAAAGACTGGGGATATAAATGTCAAGATATCACCTCAGGAAAAGAAAGAATCTTCTGATGTTTCAAATTTTTGGGGTACCCTTGGGGATTTCTTTAAAGCCAATGTTTCTCCTATACAGACAACTGAAAATATGTCTGTTTCTGCAATGACTAATAAAGATGAGGTCAGGTCAAGCCCTACTCCTATACAGCTAGCTAGCCAGGGTGCTGAGAACTTTCCTGCTGTACCAATTGCCTCTAAAGGCAAGGCTAGAGTTAGAAGACTGAACAAACAGACTACTATTGATGACAGTAGGTTAAAGGAACCATCAACTGGAGGGATCCAGGGTAATGATTTGACTGAAAAAGAGGTACCATTCAGAGACCACCTAATCCAGCAGTCACTTAATTCATCTTTCTCAACAAGTAGACTCAAAGAGTGTTCCAGAGATTCTTCAGTAGAAACTAGTGGTATGACTACAGTGACAGAAGTTTCAAAAAGTAATGAAATATCATTTGATACCCTGAGTAAAAGAAATTCAAATGAACAAGATAATTTTTCTGACAGAGACTGGAGCTTTTCAATGGCTACGACATCTTCATCTCAACCAGAGTTACCAACCAAAAAGAGTTTATTTTCTTTTCTGACTGGATCTGAAAAATCTGAGAGTAGAGCCTCAGCTACTCTACCAAGAGCCAAATCTCAAGCAGAAGGGCTATTCACACTTCCTTCCTTTTTTTCCACTGCTAGCTCAAGCATTAAGAAAGACGCCTGTCGAAGTAGCTCTACTTTTAGTTTCTTCAGCTTGTCCTTTTTAGATCAAAACAAGGAGACCTCTGGGGAAAAACAAAGCATTTCAACTGCTGTTCCGGTGACCTCCCAGCCCTGTAAAAAGACAAATGTTTTTGTAGACAGTGGTAGCACAATGACCACAGAAAGCTCCAGTGGTCATAGAGATAGCATAGCCCAAGAAGTAGTTCATGAACAGCAAATGGCACCTTGTATTTCCATTAACAACACCATTGAGGTTACCTCCCTTGCAGATGAGCTCAATGTAGCGAAGGAATGTCAGGAAAAACTGAGTTCCAGTAATGAACCAGGGACATCAGCGGATTTCCAGATGAATCAGTTGCAAGAAGACATTATTTCTCCTTTACCAGAATTTCAGGCCCAGGCTGAAACATTCCTCATTGGCCCAGGAACCCTTGGGATAGCTCCCCATGAGGAAGAGGCTCTCAACCAGAAAGACTTCCCCAGTGACTCACTGTCCAACTCTTTTTCAAATGATAAGCAGTTAATTGAAAAGTTCAATGATTTAGACACTTGTACTAACCACCACCAAGATAAGAAATTTACTACTGACCCATTGAACTTGCCATTAGAAAAGGCCCCTGATGAGGTCTTACCACAGATCCTGGAGCCAGCCTCTTCTCCAGAGCCAGGGTGTGCAGGGAACCTCCAGAAACGAGATGCAGATAAAGAGGAAGACAAATCCACATTAGGCTCTTCAGTAGACATGCTTTCAGGGTTTGTGACCAAAGTGAAATCTTTCTCTGGGAGCTTAATTGAACCTCCCAAAACATTCTCTGGACTTTTCTCTTCTCCTAAATCTACAAAGAAAACCCCATTTTTCTCTCTTTCTTCTGATGTATCATCTCAGCCCCTCAAAGGTGAATTATTTGGAATTTTCAGAAGTCCCAAGCCAGAGCCATACAAACAAGAATCATCTCTCCCAGCTACTTCATGGCTTCAAAATGATTGTTCCAGAGATACTGTAGGATCAGTACCTCCAGAAAGGAGAGAAGCTGCCTGTACAGTACCCAATTCAGAATCTACTCTCAGTGACTGTAGAATGACTGTGGTTAGTACAAAGCCAGAATCAGATATCTTGACAGATGATCTTAAACTAACAACCAAAATGGAAGACAATAATACTCCTGAAAATATTCTGGAATCTCAACGTTCTGAAACAATTAACACATCTTCTTTCTCAGGTGATGATACTGGGCAAGGAGTATTGTCTCTGAGTGATGAAGGAGACATGGGGATATTGCAAGCTACAGACACAGAGGCATCGTTAGAAGCAGACAACATCGCGCTGCCAACACAGTTGCATCCAGATCCTACCTGCATTGCCGAAGAGCTTCCTTCTCCAATTCAGCCATCTCAGCCTCTTGAGCTAGAGCCAGCTATTCAGACTGCCTCCACAAACCAATACTTGTTGGAGCTGCATCCAGCCAGTTCACTAGAAACTGATACTGTACTGTTCAGTGATGCAAGTGTGAGCCAAACCATTACACTGGAAACCGAAGGGCATTTTTCTTATCCTCCACTGGAGGACCCTGTGCTTCCTGCCAAAGAATGTTGTGAGATAATTCATGCTCAGAAAGATCCATCTGCAGGCCCCCAAGAAACAGAGCAGTCAAGACCACATTTTGAGATCCCAAATGTCACCAGTTGGCCAAAGCTTCGTTTCCCATCCTCTACTACTAACCAGGGGAAACCACTGAGCTCTTTCTTTTCCTCACCTCTCCCCTCTGGCAATAGAGCAGCAGAGACTGGGTTAATGTCCAGTTTTAAGAAGTTGTCAACTCTATTTGAGGGAATTGGTGAGGGGAAAGGGAGTGCACTAGCAAGTGATTCAAAACTAGGGTTTGGAAAGAAGGTGGATCTTTCATTTCCATGGCCAAAAGAGAACAAAGGGGACCCTGAACAAATCCCTACAGAATCCTCCCCTACAGTTTTAGTTACTAGCAGTGATCAGGACCTTCACTCCAGTGAGGCTAACAAAGGTTTGGAGTCTTCTCAAATATCTGGGGCCAGTGCTCAGCCAGCTAAAGTCTACACTCAGCCCTTTGAGACCTCTGAACAGCTGGTGGCCAGCCCAGATGTCAGTGCTCAGGGACTTTCAGGGCCTGGAGAAGGGGGAAACCAGCAGGAAATTTTAGCATCTGGAGAAAACTGTGATACCAAAGGCCACCTCTCTAGCCCCACCTGTCCTTCAGGGGAACATGAAAATGAGACCTCTACTGTCTCTGAGATACTTCGTCAGCCAGAAAAACAAGAAGAGGAAGCAGTGTCTGCTAGTACTGACTGTGTTTTGAATGTGCAGCAGCCAGTTACTCCAAATGACATCAAGGAGCCAATGACCAACAAAAGGCCTGTTCTTAACTCAAGCATCATAAATGGCTTTAAGGAATTGACCATTTATGATGCAAGTGACTTAGATTAATTAAGTAGATTAATCATAGTTTGCTTTTTATCCTTCCTGTGTCTTTCCTAGTACCTGAGCTTCATGTTAATTAGGGGTTAAGTAACAAGAACTTAATGTGTGGGTATTTTCATCCTCCTCTCTATGCCAAATGTAATTCACTTATTGGAACGAGGAGCTTCCTGCTTAAAGCAAAGGCTGAGATTTACTCAGTCTAGTTTGCTCTGCCTTGTATAATGTGAAATGGAGAAGGGAGGGCAGGAAGAGGCACCAAGTAGTTGGTGGTATATATTAACTACAACTACATGATAGGCTAGGATGCTGGCTTGGGCCTTAGGCATTTATATCTTGTAGGAGATGGAGATAGACCTATTTTGTTTTGTTTTTTCAAGTCTTCTAAGATGCTTTTTCCAGTGGCAATGAGTGTATTAAGTAAAATACAAACTGCAAAGGATGTCTTGGGATAGTCTGTAATCCCATATCCTATTCCATACAAATTTGCATAGCTTCTTCCAGGGTATCAGTCTCTGCCTTTTAGTACCCTCAAGGCTGATGTCTGATAAATCATCAGCATTGAGTACAATCTCACAGGAACTCAGAGCTATCCTTTGCTGTAGTTCTTCAGCCTGGAGCAGTGTGTAAGATCCATCAGCAGAGGGTACTATTATTTCCCCTAAGAAGCAGTACTGTACAGTACAGATTAAGAACACTACCTTGACCTCTGGCCCAAACTCGTTCAAAGGGGTTGGTCAGGGTCAGTGTGTGTGAGTATACTTATGTACAGGTATATGTGTATGTGTGTTGAACTACTCAGAACAGTGACCTGGTACCTATTCTGATAGAGGATCAGAAGTCAGCCTGAGAATACCATGTAATTAGGAGGAACTTTAGGGAAAATCCCACTGGAAAATAATAGTGATTTCTCTTCTTTGACCCAACACAAGCCTTTTAGTTAAAGGTTTGACTCTGTGATAAGAAATTTCTTCAAAAGAACTGAAGCCCTTAGATGATAGGGTCATAAGACTCAAGGAAGTAACTTCTAGATACTCCTCTTCTTTCCACCACTCTGCCCTTCTTCCCACTGTCGCTGTCACTTTTTCTGCTATAACTGCTTTCTCTTATAACTTTCTAGACATGGGAATACAGGTGATTGAAAAAAGATTGGCCTATCAGTCTTCAGATACAGAAATGCAAGAATACAGCTCTGACCCAGATCTTAGAGTCGGACTTTGTCCACTCTATCCAAAACTGAGCCTTGCTCTGAAAGCAGCTCAGTTATAGATATTCATCTTTGGGGCACATCCTGTGCTGCCAGGGATATCATTGCAGCATTTATGTCGATGAGACCTTTTTTTGTGTGTGGAATCTCTTGGTCATGGCCCCCATCTTCCAGTGGGTTTTATTAATTCATCTTGCAGATGAGAAAACTGAGATGATAATTGAAGGAACATGTCTGTTCTCCTTTGCTCATCCTAAGGTACAGGCATATAAATTTACAACTGTAGAGGAAGAAATGGCGACCTCAATGTAATAAGTAATAGAAAAAGAGAGTAGAGTTCATTCCTTCCATTTTACTATGTGGAAATTTAAAAAATTTAACATGGCCACTGGACAAGCTTCTTTAGAAGACAGAGTAAAGAATTTTAGGAACAAGTAACAGGCCGTTTTAATATTTTTTAATCCTACTCATAAATGGATATTTTATCTTCAAAGTCAAGTGCAGGGCTGAGGTTAAATGTTGTTGGAGAACCCAGCATGTTGTGTTGTTTTCCTGTTGTGATTTTGCTGAATAGAGACTAATACTTCTTGATTATGAAGTTTGGTTGTCTCTTCCCAGGAACCTCCTATTTGATTCTTGCTACTGAAATAATCATTATTTCCTGGATGTCTCCATGCTTTTGTCCTGGTCCTTGATTTGCATTTATTTGCTTATTTGTCTTTCTCTTATTGTCACAGCCCCACCAGCAGCAGTAGGTATGGCTCCTCCTGTAATGTGAGTCAAGGAAGCTCTCAGCTAAGTGAACTAGACCAGTATCATGAACAAGATGACGACCATCGAGAGAGGGACTTGATTCATTCCTGCCACAGCTCTCACAGCCTCTCCAGAGATGGCCAAGAAGATTTTGGAGAACAAGAGAAAGCCTTGGAGGTGACAGGTCAAGCAGAGAAGAAGTCAGCATGTGAACCCAAGGAGATAAAAGAAGATGCTACAACCCACCCTCCCCCAGATCTGGTGCTGCACAAAGACCACTTCCTAGGCCCCCAGAAGAGGTAGGCAATAGCTGCCTTGAGGAACTCACATGGCTTCCTCAGTACCTGCCCTGTGGTATTGCTGAAAATAAGTGATTGTCATTTGTTTCCCTGAAGCTGGGTATGGTGGCACCCCCAGGCTCAACTCTGTATTGCTTCCTTTGATTTATGGTATACTTCCCAAGATACTTTGGAGATCTCTAAAGAATACTTGGGGTCTTGTTTGTTTGTTTGTTTTTGAGATAGGGTCTCACTCTCTGAAGACATTCTGGAGATATTTTGGAGATCTCTGAAGAATACTTGAGTTTTTGTTTGTTTTTGAGATAGGGTCTCACTCTGTTGCCCAGACTGGCACGATCTTGTATCACTGTAGCCTCAACACTCTGGTTTCAAGCAATTCTCCCACCTCAGCCTCCTGAGTAGCTGGAACTACTAGGTGTATACCACCACACCTGGCTAATTGTATTTTTTGTAGAGACAAAGCTTCATCATATTGCCCAGGGTTGTCTTGAACTCCTGAGCTCAAGTACTCCACCCGCCTCAGACTCACAAAGTGCTGGGATAACAGGTGTGTGCCACTGCACCCGGCCAGGACTTGGGTTATTTGTAGTTAATGAGCTGCAGTGTACTAGGACTTCTTGAGTCTGCAGTTCATAGCTTACTAGTTGACCTTGTATATGCAGCCTCTGAGTCAGGAACTGACCTGAGTCAGATTACTTCATCCACTGGGGCTGCTATGGGTACTTTGGCTGACTTCCAAACCTATTAAGAATGCTGCTTTCACCTCTGGCCCAAACTTGTTCAAAGGGGTTAGTCAGGGTCAGTGTGTGTGCATGTACTTATGTACAGGTATATGTATATGTGTGTTGAACTACTCAGAACAGTGACCTGTTACCTATTCTGGGAGCATGGGCTAGAGGATCAGAAGTCAGCCTGAAAATACCAGGTAATTAGGAGGAACTTTAGGGAAAATTCTATTGGAACATAACTGATTTCTGTTGTAACTTTTTTGGTGAACATTTTTTGTTTTGTTTTTCCCTAGCTGAGAAACCCAGGACAAAGTTAAGAAAGAATTGATCTATAAGCCAGATTTAACCCATCCCTTTGCCTCCTCAGGGCCTAGCAATGTGTCTGCCAGTTGGTATCCATAAGAAGAAAAATTTAAAATGTGTCCTCTTTAACATCTCATAATGAAGCTGAGTACAGAGTCTGAATGTTATTATTGAGCTAAATTGGTTAAAGTAGCTGATAGGTCGGAGCAGAGCAAGAGTTCTGTATCTTGGCATTTGCGACATTTTGGGCCAGATGATTCTTTGTTGTGCATATTATAGGATGTTTAAGAGCATCACTGGCCTCTACATGCTAGATGCCAGTAGCAATTCTTGCAACCCTCAGTTGTGACAACTAAAACTGTCTCCTGACAGAGTTCTCCTTGGGAGGACAGTTGCCCACTGGAATAGAGTGATAAGGGATGGGTGTGACTTAGAGTCTCAAATTTCAAGATGTAATAATAAAGCCTCTCACTGAAAGACCAGGGCACTGAATGTGGATTACATGGTAAAAATTAGGGAATGGCTGGTGCTTCTACTTTACCACTGGATTAATAGATGAGTCATATACCTTTCTGAAGATATTAACTTATTTTCTCTCTTCTTCCCTTTTTTGGTTTTTAGTCATCTCTTGTAGCTCATCTAATAGATGGGACATCCAGGAGGTGAGCTCTGGACCAGGCCTCTTGTTGAGTTGATGACCCACTGAAAAACTGACTCTGGCCCTCCATAGACCTTAGGCTTGGCAGTTACTATTATCAGGGGCAGAGGTCGTGGTGGAGAAGCAGAAGTGCCCAGCACGAATCCTTGTCCTTCTCTACTGGTTGTGTCCTCTCAGGTCCTAGCTGTGAGACTGAAATGCAGTACCACCTTGGCCAGAAGTGCCCACATATGTTTTAGAACAGTTGACCAATTTAGGTGGCATCAGAACCGACCATGTATTTTACATGTGTAGTTGGTGGACACTTGTCTGCTGAATTGGCTGTAGGCCTCAAAGAGAGGAAGGAGAAATATTGTTGCCAAGAATTAACCACTGTTCTAGTTAATAATGTGGATAATGAGTTGTTCTAATGCAGGGTGGTGTTTCTGTCTCAAAGGTATTTTGTTATGTGTTATTGTTCATTTTACTGAGGGTGTTCCAGAAGCAGCTCAAGGAACAAGATCACAGCAGTAAAAGGGCTGTGGTTTTTTTTTTTTTTTTTTTTTTTTTCTTGGCACTTTTCATGTAAAGAGGAGTGGGTAAGCCTTCTAAAATACTTAGTGGAGCAGGAAGGGTTTGCAGGGACAAAAGTCTGCCCTAAAGATGCTATGCAAAACTCCCAAAGGAACTTGGGAACTTGATGGTTCCAAGAAGTGCAGTGTGAGGGAATTGAAAGGCTTATTCCACCCATCTCTGCATGGTTTCTATACTAGACATTGATTCAGGGCTCTTGCTATTGCCTCTAGAGTCCTGATTCCAGAATATTCCAGTGAGCCACCACATTAGGTAAATGAAAAAAAAAAAAAAAAAAAAAAAAAAAAAAAAAAAAAAAAAAAAAAAGAGTAGAAAAAGAGGGAACAGATGAAAAGCTAAAAGGAATTGTCATTTTAGAGATGAATTATTTTCACATTGGGTATTCAGTACTATGTTGCTCATTTGGTAAATGTAAAAAGGAGAAGGAAAAGGAGGGGCTCACGCCTGTAATCCCAGCACTTTGGGAGGCCAAAGCAGGCAGATTGCTTGAGCTCAAGAGTTTGAGACAAGCCTGGGCAACATGGCAAAACCCCATCTCTACAAAAAGTACAAAAATTAGCTGGGCCTGGTAGCATACACCTGTAGTTCCAGCTACTTAGAAGGCTGAGGTGGGAGGATTGCCTGAGCCCAGGAGGTCAAGGCTACACTGAACCGTGATCACGCCACTGCACTTCAGCCTGGACAACAGAGTGAGACCCTATCTCAAAAATAAAAAAAATAAAAGCAAGAACAGATGAGAAGCTAAAAGGAGTTACCGTTTTAGAGAGGAATTGTTTTTGCATTGGGTATTCAGTACTACGCTGTTTTAGTAGCCTGAATCACTAAATAAGTGTAGGCATGAGTACAAACCATTTTATTTTAGACATTTGGCAGTCTTGCCTGGAGCAGTGTCACCTTGTGGCCTTCGCTATTTTTAAGAAATGTTCTTTTTCTCTGTTACAAGTTTTCCTGAGGAGAATGCATCTTCACCATTTACCCAAGCCAGAGCACATTGGATCCGAGCAGTTACCAAGGTTCGACTCCAGCTGCAGGAGGTAGGAAATCTGTTCTAGTACTGGTTGGGACAATTTTGCCTTTGAAATTGGGAGACATATGGTGCTGGAGAAGCAATCAGTGATTAGCCATCTTCTTACAGTATGCTTCTGGGAATGCGTGACAATTAAGCCAGAGCTTTAAGAGATGGGAAGTGGCCAGTGGCTTTCTTCTGTGCTGATTAATGGAAATCAAATAGACCTAGTGGGCTGAGAGCCTGACCGTAAAGTTAGGTGCTTATTTCCAAGTACTGTTCATTGTCTCTTTGAAGCCATTTGAGTTTAGAGCAAGAGATGATTTCAAGCCTTTTAGGTCAGTTGTTCTCTCCCTTACCTAGCCAGTTCATACTGGCTGATCTGTAGGGGCCAAAATAGGGTACAGAAATGTCTGTGGAATTTGCCAGTTTAAAGCCCAAAGCATCAACACACTAAGATCTGAAACAACACAAAAAACATAATAAATATTTTTCGTTTTCTGTGTTACAAGTTTGAAGAATCTTTATCTGTGTATTAGTAGGTAGGCAGTCTTTAGGCAGGAGGTACTTTTTTTTCCATATAAATTTAGGAGGTGCAAGTGCAGTTTTGGTACATGGATATATTTCAGAGTTTGATACATGGATATATTGCGAAGTCCAGAAGTCTGGACTTAAGGTGTAGCCATCATCTGAATAGTGTATGTTTCACCCAGTAAGTAATTTCTCTTTCCTTACCTGCTTCCACCTTTCTAAGTCTCTAGTGTCTATTATTCCATACTCTAAATCCATCTGTACATATGATTTAGCTCCCACTTATAATGAGAACATGCAGTAGTCCATGGTGTGTGTGTGTGTGTGTGTGTGTGTGTGTGTGTGTGTGTATCACATTTTTAAAAGCCACACATCTGTTGATGGACACTGAGTTTGATTCCATCTCTCTTTTTTTTTTTGAGTTGGGGTCTTCCTCTTTCACCCAGCTGGAGTGCAGTGGCATGATCACTGCAGCTTTGAACTCCTAGGCTCAAGTGATCCTCCTACCTGTGCCTCCTATGTAGTTGGAACTATAGGCATGCTCCACCATACCTGGCTATTTTGTTTTTTTAAGAGACAGGGTCTTGCTATATTGCCCAGGCTGGTCTTGAACTCCTGGCCTCAAGTGATCCTCCCACTTGGCCTTCCAAAGTGTGGAAAGTACAGGCGTGAGCCACTATACTCAGCCCATAATATTTTTGCTATTGTGAATAGTGCTACGATAAACACATGGGTGCAGGTATCTTTTTGATATAATGATTTATTGAAGTTATGCATTTAATGATAATTGGCTGCCAGTAGTATAATATCTGGCAGATATTAAAAGTGCAATCATGCTTACATGTGTTAACATACACTTTAAAAATTAATTTATTTTGAATCAGTTTTAAACTTAAGGAAAAGTTACAAAAACAGTTAAAGAACTACCATGTCTCCTCACCCAGATGCTCCAAATATTCACATTTCACATTTACCATTGCCTTCCCTCCATTATGATCAATCTTTTTCTGAATCATTTGAAAGAAAATTGGAGACATAGTATTGTCATTCCTAAATGTTCCTTTGTATTTCCCTATAAGCAAGGCCACTGTCCTGTATAACCACAATATAACCATCCAAATCTGGAAAACAACAATAACAACACTATTATCAAGGCCCTATGCATATTTTGCCAAACACCCCAACAATGTCCCTTTTTCCTTTCTGATCCGGAATCCAATCCAGGATGACATGTTGCATTTAGTCAAGATATCTTTAGTCTCCTTCAGTGTTTCCCATCCTCAGCAGTTTTAAATGGTATAGGCCTTTTATTTTGTAGCATGTTCTTCAATTTAGGTCCATTCAACATTTCCTCATGTCCGGACTCAGGCCATCCTTTCATGGCAGGAATTACACACAAAAAATGGTGCTGTGCTCTTTTCAGAGCATTGCGTCAGAAAGTACATGATGTTAACCTGTCCTGCCATTTATAATGTTAGCCTCAATCACTTGGTTAAGTTTGTAATTGGCCAGGTTTCTCCACTGTCAAGACACCATTTTTCCCTTTGTAATTGTTAAGTGCCTTGTGGTGCAGTACTCTGAGGATATGCTGGTATCTTGTTCCTTATCCTGGCTACCATTTTTTTTTTTTTTTTTTTTTTTTTTTTT